ACAATCTGCATGCCCTGTCTTCATCCACCTGCTCCATCAGACCAGTTTCCTCATTGGCTTCATTTCTATCCCTGCTAAGCTACTTTGCCTTCTACTTAAATTTCATTTGTCTAGCTAAGTTGTTGATTCTGTTTCTGTCCATATGAGCTGTATAATGTCCAGGCTTTTTCCAATACCACATTGGTAGCTAGAACTTCCTCCTTCAAATTCCCTGAATAAGAACAACTAAGTGCATCCCAGCTGTCTTCTAGGACTTAATTTCACTTCTCTCTCCGGTAGCAACCATGCTCTTTCTCGGTGCCCCACTGGGTCTTGTATTCCACCTCTGTGGTTGTGGTCATGCATGCATTCACTCTTAGCCATTGTTTATTGAATGCCTGCCATGAGATAGGCCCTGTGGCATCACACTCCATGATGTAAATTGGTTTTAGTTGTGTCTCCTCTTGTAGACTACGGTGGTTAGTTTCATGTGTCAGTTTGCCTGGGTTAAGGATGTCCAGATATGTGGTCAAACATTATTTCTGGATGTGTCCGTACAGATGTTTCAAGGAGAGATTATTATTTGGATCAGTAGACTGCATAAAGAAGATCTGCCCTCACCAGTGTGGGTGGCTGTCATCTCCTCCACCAGGGGCCAAGGCAGAGCAGGGCTCACAGCAGCACCCGTCCTGCCCTGTGGGCCTTTGTGCCTGCAGAAGAGTCCATGGCGTTGGAATCATCAATTTGTTTCAAAGGCTCAGGAGAAATGGCTCACAAGGAACAGGTGCCAGGCAGTCCCTGCTTGTCCTGTGCCCCCGCCTGGCTCTGACTTCTGAGGGTCAGGGCCGGGCCACCTCCCGGTACTCCTGAAGGTGGCTGGACACTACGGAAGAGTCCCCATGGCTGGCACACCGAGGGGCCACAAGTGAAGTGATTCTGTGTCTCCCCATTATTGGCCCTGTTTCCCTTAGCACTGCTTGAAGGGTGGATTGGATGCCTTTGGTTGGTTGGCTGTGGCTGCAGGACTCACTCAACCCCAGCCTCTGCCCACTGGTGCCTTCACTGTGGTGGAAGACATGCAGCCAGCACGTGGCTGTGAAGTGGCTTCAGACCCTAGCCCAGGGCAGGACCTTTGTGTTGGACGCTTGCAGCAGCTTGGGGACTCCTATGCGGAGAATGAAATTACAAGGGAGTCCCGTTTGCCTCCGCACCCATGGCTGCTGTAGCCAGAGCAGACAAAGCCCTCAATCTCTGAGGAGTGAGAGAGGAGACCCTCCTTTGCAGCACCTGTCAGGGAGGCCAAACACTCCACCTTTGGAGGGCTGGGGACTGGGGCGAGGCAGACAGCTGCCACGGAGGCTGTGATGGCAGAGTCGAGTTTCTTCTATCAGAGGCCACATAAAGTCATCCGCTTGTCTTGTTTGTGTCTTTTAATTCAACATCTGCCCTTTTGTTGAGACTCTGACTTCCACCAGGTAGGAAGGTGTCCAAGTGGGAGTTTGCACCCACCAAAAATCACGCAAAGCAAAGCCCACTGGAATACTTTGCTTCTTAGATAATGTTATGACATAAAATTAGCTATTGCAGTCAAAATGTTTCTAACAAAATAAGGAGTTTCTACAATATTAAAGCTCAATTCTATTTTCCCTTTATGGACATTAAAGACAGCTTCATTAGCCCTGCAGTGTTTCCTTGAGACATTATCTGAAATTGTTTTGTTAAGATTGTTTTAAATAGTCCAACATGTGCAGCTTCATTTTCTCAAAGCTGAAAATCAAATTCGTTTTACAAAATCATTAATAAAGGTGATGACCTTATTTATTTGAGTTTCCACTGGTTTGTGAAATTTCAAGGATGAATTAATGACTGGAAACAGGTGTCTTTTTTTTCTCCTTGCTTTCTCTCTGGGTTTTCTATCTGGCCTGGCTGTGGCTGTGCCAGCCCTGCTCCGAGATGTGGGCTGGAGCAGGTGTGGCCAAGCCCAGCAAGTGCTTCTCTGTGAAGAGACCCTGGTCCCTGAGCCCTTGCTGACTGCAGGGCTGTCCTCCTCCCTTGCAGACTGGTGGTTCATGTACAAAGTGGCAGGAAGGGGCTCGGGGTCTGAGCTGAAGCTGGGCTGCAGAGACAGAGAGCCTGGGCTCGTTCTGAAGGTCCTGCGGGACCACAGTGTGAGCTGGGCGCACTTTGGGCTGTGGCTGAGGCTGGGTTCTGGGGCCGAGCTGCCGACTGGGAGGAGAGAGCTGGGAGGAGTGGGGGGAGTTCCGGCTGATGGCTGGACTCTTCAGGTAGTGCTGTGTCAGGCTGTCCAGGCAGAGCAGGGCTGGCCAAGGCAGGGTGGGCTGTGTCAGCAGGGCAGAGAAATGGGGGCCTGCTTGCTGTTATGTAGGTGAAGAAGTCAACATGGTTCTAAGGCTTTTTGTCCTTGCTCCATCCGCGTGGAAGAACTGGGAATGTTAGTTCTGGGCTTTAATGGGGGAGGTGGGCGAGCAGCACCTGCTGACGGTGTGGCATCTCTCATGGGGTCTACAGGTGCGAGGGTCTCTTGTTTGGGAGGTGGAGGGAGTGGCAGTGTGGGGTACAGTCCTGGGCCTGGGCTAAGCACCTGCTAATCAGTGATGGGAAGAGCAGGGCTGAGTGAGGAGACCGTCCCTGTGCTGGCCCCAAGTCACAGCCCACGCCAAGTGTGAGAAGGCACAGCACTGGCTCGGCTTCTGAAGTGCCAGCCAGCAGCCGTTCAAGCCATCTTGAGAAATATTCACTCCATTCAGCTCCACTGAGGCCAGGATTGGATGTCCCCTTCCCCAAATCCAGGAAAATGTTTCCTTGGCTGAGACTGCTGTTTGACTTTTCCTTCCACGCTCGTACTCTCCTGAAGGTGACAAATAGTCTTTTTTTTTTTTTTTAAAGAAAGATTTATTTATTTATTGGAAAGGCAGAGTTAGAGCGAGGGAGAGACACACAGAGATCTTCCATCTGTTGGTTCATTCCCCAGTTGGCCTCAACAGCCATGACTGGGTCAGGCTGAAGCCAGGAGCTTCTTCCTGGTCTCCTGCATGAGTATAGGATCTAAGCACTTGGGCCATCTTCCTTTCCCAGGGGTGTGAGGAGGGAGCTGGATTGGAATTGGAGGAGCGGGACATGCGCTGGTGCCCATATGGGATGCTGGCTTTGCGGGTGGTGGATTAACCTGCTAAGCCACAATGCATCCCCAACAAATAGTCTTTTGACAAAGATGAAATTCCTCTAATATCCTGCTGCCTGCAGTCTAATTTTTTTTTTTTTTGCACATGGATGAGACTGCTAGCAGAATAGATTGATCCATCTGGTTTAGAGGAAGGGTTAAGCAATTGATTTTAATTAAATCATATTTTTAGAAATCAGCGGAATGCATCATTTTGGGCCCCCTTTCTCAAAACATTAATCAGTTAGTCAATAATTTCTTACAATTTATGGACCCTGAGTTCCCTCTCTCTGGTGACTCAGAGAGTTAGTGAGACATACTGTTCATTTCCAAAAAACAGTCATTCATTTTGAATCCTTATGTCCAACGTTCAGGGAAATTATTCAGTAAGACTTTAGGCCACTTTCCAGTTTTCCTGTGTACACTGCAATGACTGCTTACAGTTAGTAGTGGCCCCCAGTGCTTCAGACTAGAACCCCAGTGTGGAGAGGGATCCCAACCATCACCAGGCCCATCCCACCCCCTCCTGTGCTGGAACTCTTCTCTGAGAGCTTCTCTGAGTCAGCAGTCCCTGAGCAAGTCCCGGAGCGGTCGTGTGCATAAGAACCAGTGGGAGAGCGTGTTAAAGCAGTGTAGTGGGTCCTGATTCTGATCCGTTGGGTTGAAGAGGAGCTTGAAAATTTGCATTTCTACCAAGCACCCAGGTGATTTCAATGCCACCAGTCCAGGAACTACCCTGTGCCAGACATTGCTGCCCAAGACACAATGTTTAAGGGCAGCTCTGCAAGGGGGAGGCTTCCCTGGGCTGTGGGAGGGAGAGCAAGGTGAGGTTCTATCACCAGACATCTCCATGGCACAGTTTGGCCTGGCTGCCTCCTTATGGGGGTTTCTAGGCAGAGACACAAGGCATTGCTCCCCCAAGAGGGTGGAAAAGGAGAAATGGAGGAGAGCTAAAAACAAAGCAAAGAGATAATCTTCATATAATCATATACATGTATTTATTTATCTGAAAGAGAGAGAGAGCAAGTGAGCGCGGGTGCAATTCCACCTGCTGTTCATTTCCCAAATGCATACAATAGCCAAGGCGGACCAGGTCAGGTCCAGAAGACTGGAACTCAGTCTGCGTTTTCCACATGAGTGGCAGGAATCCAACTTCTTGAGCCATCACCTGCTGCCTCCCAGGATGCACACTAGCAGGAAGCTGGATTGGAAGCAGAGCTGGGACTCTAACCCAGGTGCTCTGGTATGGAATGATGAGGAATGGCATCACAAGCAATGTCCTAACTACTTTACCAAGTGCCTTCTCCTCGTATAATTCTTAACTCTGCTAGTCTAGTGATCCCTCTTTGATTTTATATAGAAAAAACTCGGAGTAACATCCTTGCCTACTTTTTTTTTTTCTTTTTTGACAAGCAGAGTGGACAGTGAGAGAGACAGGTCTTCCTTTGCCGTTGGTTCACCTTCCAATGGCCGCTGCGGCCAGTGCACCGCGCTGATCCGAAGGCAGGAGCCAGGTGCTTCTCTTGGTCTCCCATGGGGTGCAGGGCCCAAGCACTTGGGCCATTCTCCACTACACTCCCGGGCCACAGCAGAGAGCTGGCCTGGAAGAGGGGCAACCAGGACAGAATCCTGTGCCCCGATCGGGACTAGAACCCGGTGTGCCGGTGCCGCTAGGCAGAGGATTGGCCTATTGAGCCGTGGCACTGGCCCATCCTTGCCTACTTTTAAAAATTTCTTTGGAAAGTAGTAATTGCTAATAGATAATACTTTCACCATTACTCAGAACTTTCTGTTAATCCAAAGTCATTTATGTTCCTCTTGTGTGTGTTTTTTTCTTTAGGGCTTTCCAGTAAACATTGTTTGGGAAACTGAACTTCATTTTGAAAGTGCAGCCCCCTCATAAAATCTCTAAGGTAGGTAAAATTTTAATCAACTTAATTTTTCTAAGTGCCTTTAAAAACTCATTCGATCATTAATTGATTTCAGTGAGCAGAAAGATTTCTCCCTTCCCCTTCCCAAGTTTGCCATCTTGCCTGTGTTTTCCTTTTCTTAGAAAAGTTTGGAAGCTGGTTTTGTTTTGCAGGTTTCTAAGGGAGTTATGATTGTGGTGAAATGAAGCTCTTTCTAAGTTTAAATTTTAATGATAATATTCAACATATGCATGATATACCCATGCCAAAGCATTAAGAATTTAGAAAGTGTAGTATCTTGACTTTTAAATTCACTTACAGTATGATTTCTAAGTAGGTTTGGGAGGTGCAAATATTTGTAGAACCTTCTGTTTGCTTTATGAAGTATTTCACCAATGGTTTTCAGTAAAAGGAAAAATCATCATGTAAAACATAAGGTCTGATTTGCTTTTCAAAGATGGGACTTTTTTGAACAAAATGATCATGAAAAATGAGTCAGTGGTAGGGTGGTAGTCTGAGAGGTGAGGTACACAATCTTAATATGTGTCTGCTGAGTGTTGGGTTTGCAGGCTTTCTGTTGTGTTGGCCATCTAAACATGAGAAGAGTTTGAAGGAAGAAGCAAAACTTGAAACTTGACTATCAAGCCCAAAGGTGACTCAATGGAAGGAGCTTGGAGAATGTGCGGATGACGTGGGGATGTGATTAGGGATGAGCATAGGGAAGAGAGACAAGGGAGAGGTGGGTAGGGAATTACATAGACGATGCATCCGCTTGAGGAACTGCCACAGAAAATTAGCGATCCAGCTATAAATTATGAATCTGAAGCCAATTTTCTTTTTCTCTCCATATGTTCTTTTAATAGTTGCCGTTTGTTATTTTAGGCAAAATTCCAGATTGTCAAAGCCATCTCTGTAAGGCTTTATTTAATGCCAGTAGCGTCAGCCATGAAAGAGAACCACACAGGACTCTTCAGTCCCAGTAATGACTTCTCAGTTCCCAGCTGGTTCACTTAGAAGTTTCTTTTTATTCTTCTTCCTTTTTTTTTTTTTTTTTTTGGCCTTCCTAAGCAGACAGAGTTGGAGCAGGAAGTTTCTTCCAGGTTCCAAATACTCAGCGAATGTGACATCATCCCTGTTCCTATCAGAATGCCAAGTGCTCACTGGTCCCTTTCTTCCCAGCTCTCAGAGAAGAAATTACAGCTGCTCACATGTTGTGGGACTGCATGGTTTTTTTTTTTTGGCTCGTAGCAGGATGCCAGAAAAGCTGTTATCCAGGCTCCTTTCACAGCCCAGTGAGGCCACGGGTGCTGCCTCTCAGTAGGGCTAATTCCAATCACACCCCAGACTGTCAGCTCTGCTTATTAAAGAGTCTCAGGGGTACCTAGTGCAACAGAGGATGGATGCCCTGGAAACCTAGGAACCCAGGCGCTGGACTCCCACACTCTCTTACCCGCCTCTTTTTCCTGAGGTTTTTACCTTAAATATGTTTCTCCCCTTCTCCCTCCACTAATGAGCTCCCACTGTGCTTTGAGATTCATTTTAAAGAATGCTTTCTCTAAGAAAATGTCAGCAATTCCCTTAAGATGTGCTTGATCTTAAATACACGGCACCTGTGTCACCTCAGCATGTTCACACATAGCTCTAGTGCGTAGCAGCAGTGGCCTTGCAGTTTTATGCTGTTTGTACTCCTACTTTTCAGTTCTTAGCAGTACATGGCATACAGTATTTATTCACTAAAATGTGATTGAGGACATCTGGTCAACCATGGTCACCATGTACAACACAGGGCTCAATGCACCCTTCATCCCAGCCAAGGCCAATGAGAGGCACAGACACTCAAGTTTACACTTTTCATCCAGATGTTGGCCATCTCTAGGCAGAGAACCCACCACTTACAAAAGGTCGATGTGAATGGACAGAAACACTGAGAGTCCAGAGTTAGATCTGCATTCAGATCCCAACTCTTTTCTGGGTGGACTTGGATAAGCACTTCTATCCAAGGCTGCCTCCTCTCCCCTGGAACAGGACAGAAATTGCACCCATCATGAGCTTGGTGCAAGGGTTAGATGAAATAATGCATGTAACATGCTTGGTCCAGGGCCAGGATCTCCTGGCTTCAATCCTGATTGGGAGCCTGGATGCTTTCTCATCTTAAAGTATCCTCCAGAACACACACAAATCACGGTTTCTGTGATGTGTAGTTCAAACTGGTTTTCTTTTTTTTTTTTTTTAAGATTTATTTATTTATTTGAAAGTCAGAGTTACACAGAGAGAAGAGAGGCAGAGAGAGAGAGAGAGGTTTTCCATTCCACTGGGTCACTCCCCAGATGGCCACAATGGCCAGAACTGCGCCGATCTGAAGCCAGGAGCCAGGAGCTTCTTCTGGGTCTCCCATGTAGGTGCAGGAGCCCAAGCACTTGGGCCATTTTCTACTGCTTTCCCAGGCCATAGCAGAGAGCTGGATAGGAAGTGGAGCAGCTGGGACTAGAACCGGCACCCATATGGGATGCCGGCACTTCAGACCAGGGCGTTAACCTGCTGCGTTACAGCGCCGGCCCCCAAGCTGTGTGTTCTACTCAGATTTCCTCCAGATAATCTGCGTTGTCCCAGTCCTGACACTGGTGGTGAAGTATCATGTTTCCTCTCACTTTGTTCAGTCTGCAAGGTTTGCTCCTCAGGAAGCAGTCGTAAAACACTTTGCTAGTGATGCTGTCCTCTGCCAAAGGAGCTGTCTTCTGATTATTCCTTTCCCTCCTGGCTTAGAGGCTGCTGCCCCCAGCGAGGACAATGCTCCATTCCCAGCGAGGACAATGCTCCATTCCCAGCAAGGACAATGCTCCATTCCCGGAGTAGGGGCACGGCTTCTGCTGAGTGTGGACCTGCTATTCTTGGTCCCATCCTGGAGCACAGGTGGCTTTGTGATTTCAGCCATCTGGTGACCATATGGGAAAAACAACAGAGTAGTGATGCCATATCATGGATAATGAAGCATAGAAGGCAGCCAAGACACAACAGCAGCAGCATCCTATGAACAGAGTTCAGCATCTGGAGCAGGGCGTCGGGACTGTTCCTATTCATAGAGATAAGTCCAGTGGCATAGAACGCCAGGTTGTTAGGACCAGAGAGAAATCGGCTGTCCTCTGGGGGCCTTCTCCCTGTGTCGCAGGTGATAGAATTGAGGCATCGTGGGGGAGAATGAAAGTGTCTGTCCTAAGCTCAGCCAGCAAATTAGTGGGAAAAACAGGAAGATGGAATCTAGATCTCATGATGCCCTGGTCATTGGTTTTTCATGGAGTTTAAGGCTCTTTGGCTAAAGCAAAATCTCTGCCTCCCCTGAACTGCTGCCCCCTTGGTCTTTCTCTTAGACACTTGGTCTCTGTTGGGTTCTGGTTTCCGTAGGGGAACGCCCTGCTCCCCTCAGGTGTTTCCTCCACGTGGGTCGGCTCAGTGCTCTTGGCGGAGCTTTGGTCTCTTTCTTGTGGCCCACAGCCTCTTCCCCACCCAGTGCTCGTAACCATGAGCATTCGCAAAGAAGCGAGGGGAAGATTGTGTCCATGTACATTTCTCTACCTTACTTATAAAACAGCTCATCTGATTTCCTGTAGCATTGCTCTTGGGTCCAGCATGACTTGAATCTCAATGATTTTATGCTTAAATAAAATATTAATGATCAAAACAGTAATTATATTAATGCTTAAAAAAAAAACTAGGGTTGGCGGCTCACTAGGCTAATCCTCCACCTTGCGGCGCCGGCATACCAGGTTCTAGTCCCAGTGGGGGCGCCGGATTCTGTCCCGGTTGCCCCTCTTCCAGGCCACCTCTCTGCTGTGGCCAGGGAGTGCAGTGGAGGATGGCCCAAGTGCTTGGGCCCTGCACCCCAAGGGAGACCAGGATAAGTACCTGGCTCCTGCCATCGGATCAGCGTGGTGCGCCGGCTGCAGCGCGCCAGCCGTGGCGGCCATTGGAGGGTGAACCAACGGCAAAGGAAGACCTTTCTCTCTGTCTCTCTCTCTCACTATCCACTCTGCCTGTCAAAAAAAAACAAAAAACAAAAAACAAAAAACAAAACACAACAACAACAAACTAGGGTTGGAATCCTGTACTCTACTGAGAATTTGAAGGAAGTTATGGTGCCCCCAAACTAACTACAAATTGTGTGTCAATTTAGATTTTTATGATTGGAAATATTCTTTTTTTTTTTTTTTTTTTTGACAGGCAGAGTGGACAGTGAGAGAGAGAGACAGAGAGAAAGGTCTTCCTTTGCTGTTGGTTCACCCTCCAATGGCTGCCGCAGCTGGTGTGCTGCGCTGATCCAATGGCAGGAGCCAGGTGCTTCTCCTGGTCTCCCATGGGGTGCAGGGCCCAAGCACTTGGGCCATCCTCCACTGCACTCCCTGGCCATAGCAGAGAGCTGGCCTGGAAGAGGCATCCCTGACCGGGACTAGAACCTGGTGTGCTGGTGCCGCAAGGTGGAGGATTAGCCTAGTGAGCCGCAGCGCCGGCTGATTGCAAATATTCTTAACCTGTTGCTTTTCTCAAAACCAAATGTACAGAGATTGTATAATTTTACCTTTTGAGTGATTGAGATCTTTATCAACACTTGGATCCTTTTTGAAGAATGCTGTAACTTATGGTGCAGAGAAAGGACACTTCAATCAGCTGGACTCTGTCAGATGCCTGCTCAGTCTTACTCTTTGTGCCATCCTAGGAAGCATTTAGCCTCTCCTCAAGCCTGAATTTCCTCGTCTGTAAAAATGGGAAAATAATTGGTGGTTTCTCGTAGGATGATCGTGAAAACTGAATTAGGAGTGCAAAGTAGTCTGTCACATAGCTATGATGACGATCGTAATCAGACATACTCATGACAGTCAAGTTAATATGAGTAGCAGAGCACAGGAAGAAGTGCCATGAATAGGAGGAAATTTCCTCCTGAAAAATTGTTCCCAGGATTTCCAGCAATCTAAGAAACGGCTTTGGCTTTACGTCATGTCGGCTCTCAGAAT